CACACAAAAGTTAGCGAAAAATATCGGTATGTACAATATCAAATCATTATCATAAGATTCTTCACAAAATACTCCTATATTTTCTATATTTTATTTATTTAATATTGTAGACATTGATGTATTTTGCTATAAACTTGGTCAAACATATATAGAAAATTTTGACCTTTTGAAAAACTAATACACCTATATTTTGAAATGAAGGGAGTAGTATATTCTTTTGAAAAACTAACAAAACCTCAACTTTTATGCCCGAAGCCTGTTTCACAAGCCTGAAATGTCTAAAAACTAGTTTTTTCTTTGAAAATGGGTAAAAAAAGAATGTATTGCAAAATGATTCAATTAATTAAAGTCCACTATTCATCTATTTTTTGGGTTAAGCTAGAATGGGTTCAGTGTTTTCATGCTGGGTTTTCCTAAGCCCAGTCCAAAACCTAGCCAGTCTTAGTAAATTTGCATATATTATGTGTTCAAAACTACATGCATGCTTGATCATCGCATGTAGACCTACATGGTTATTATACCATTCTTTCTTAGGACATCTGCTCATCGTTTCCAAATAGATGCATGCAAATAATGGACTCAATTTTGGTTTTATAATTTAAATATAAAACAACATAGTGAAATAATTATATAATACTTCCTCTGTCCCATATATAAGATGTTTTTGCAAGCTATGTTAGCTTGCAAAAACGTTATATATATATATTATGGGATGGAGGGAGTACTAGGGAAGGGGAGAGGAGATGTGTACAAAATCATTCAAAAATTGTAGGTAAAATGTAAGTGTGACTCAAGCCGCGGCAGTTTCTGCTCTAAAAAATCACGAGGTGGTCTGCCATAATACTCCTATTTCCCCCCAAAATTTTATGTCTACTTTTAACCGCAGATTATATGGTACACGCTAGCTTAGCTCTACCGTTTAACAGCCACAAACTAAAAAAAAATCTGAGCCTAAGTTTCACTTTCATGAATAGACTGACTATCATATATATCATCTCCACGGAGACTGGAATAGTGAATTTTGACTTAAGCAAACTAACACCTATTTGAGTATGATATGATAGATTAATTATTGTGTGTCTTATTTGTTCTTGCAGGGAAATTAAGGACACAATTATCAACTGTTCCATGAACTCGGAAACAAATTGAGAAATCAGAAGAGATGGATCCTCACATGCACGCAAAGTGCGGTTAATCAAAGTGCCTAGCCTAGGCTCGAAACTAGGACAAGGAGAAAGAAACACCGGCGAGCCACTGCCAAACTAGCCGGATGTTGGTTTGTTACTGTCTCAGCCTCTTTCATGCAACTGTGAGAAGTACGGTAAACGTCGACACACAGCATGCAATTCCAGAAGATTCACAGTCCGGTGAGCAAAAAGATACCCCCCAAACAGTGGAAGGAAAAGAAGAGAAAGCGAAGAGGTAAAGATGCCACTCACTTCCAATAATAGAGGCATCGAGAGCAGATCTCCGCCCTTCCTCCTGCCTACCCCCCTATCATTATCAGCAGCATGGACATAGCAGAAGCAGCAAACAGCATTTCCATTACACATGCCCCTCCTAACAGCTACAGTAGTGGATCGAATACTTTCTCAGTTCAGCCATATTTTAAGTTATTTAACTCTCCCTTTTGCTGGCCTCTGCATTGCCTAGGTGTTACTGGAGGCTGCAGAGATTTAGGGGCCTTTATGGAATCATCAGGGATGTAGCTTGCTATGGGGACGACAACCTTTAAATTTGCTAAAAGTCTTTGAATATTCCTTAGCTTAGAGTATAGCCAGATAAGAAACATTAAAATATCCAAAGGGGGCAAACCGTCAAGATCATCAGATCATTTCATCTCATCATCGCCGTGTCTTGTCCATGCCGAGAATAAATCAAAGGGGAGAAAAACAGCAACAGGAGCAACTAATGCAACAGTAAAGCTGTCAAGGTCCAAGGGAACGTACTCTTAATTAATTAAGCCATAGTTGTACATGCATGAATGAATATAAAAGTCGTAACAGCTAATGACAAATCTGATGGCATAAACCCTACATAAAATGACATACAACTGAGCACCGGATCAAATGAAGTGGTTAACAGAAATCTCACACCTCATGCGCCGGCCGGCCGGTTCATCAGTCTCTTCGCATCACGTCGCTTCCTTCCTCCTCCTCGCCCTGGAGCTGGAGCCGCTGTGCAGCCGGCGCGAGGAACCCCATAAAACCGCCGCCGCCGCCGCCAACCAGATGGCTGAATCCGATCTGCCCAGACATTGCCGATGGCTGTTGGATTCCGGCGAGAGGGTCTAGCCAAGCGCGGGCAGACGCGGCCCAGCCAGCACTGGACTGAAGGGTTTCCCCATTGGACGAGAAGAGCTGGCCTTGGTCCAGCCCTTGCCGCGCCAGGATGCCTGCAAACATGTAGCTGTCGCCGTTGCCGCCGGCGCCACGGCCCTCTCCCGCGTCGTTGTCCGAGGCATGCCACGACGATGGCATTCTCTGGCCGTGGTCCGGCCACCCTGGAACGCCTGCACCCGAGATGATACCGTGATGGTTGGGAGATACATGGCTAAACATGTTATGCTGGTTGGACTGGAGGGTAAGGCACAGCTCCTGGGGCTGGCTGCTGGTGGTGCGCGACAGGAGGTCCGGCGGGGAGCCCCGGTACTCGTCGTGGCCGCCGGCGGTGGCCGTGGACGAGGAAGGGAACAAGGACTTGACGCTGTCGGAGACTTGGTCCGCGCCAAGTGAATGTTGAAGGAAGGAGTTGGTCATGGCAGTACCGCCGGGGTTGCTGAACCCGTAGGACGACGTGGAGGTCACCTGCTCGGACATCTGCTCGGCAGCCTCGGGCTCCGCGGTGGGCGGCGCCTCCTCGGGTCGGTCGGGGAGCTCCTCGATGGCGGCCTTGGCGTTGCGGATGAGCCAGTCGACGGCCTTGCTGGGGCGGTCGTAGCCGAGGCGGTCCTGCACGTCGTAGAAGCGGATGGCGGTGTGCGCGGCGAGGCGGACGCGGCGGTCGCGCAGCCCACGCGCGGTGCACACCTTGCTGTGCCTGTCCTTGCGCCCCGCCGCGGACCGCACGATGCGCCCGCTCCCGAATGCCGTCGCCAGGGCGTCCGCCACCGGCGTGGATTCGCCGCTGCTGCCGCCATCGGCGCCTCCCCCTGCTGCCTGCTGCCTCCGGTGCTGGTGGAGGTAGCCGAACCCTTGCTGGTGGTAGATCTGGAGCTGCGCCTGCGCCTGCGCTCTCTCCTTCTCCTGGAGCAGGTAGTGCAGGGTGCTGGTGGTGGCGGCGGCGGTAGGGTTGCTCCAAGGGTCTAAGCCCTTGGACAACCGGTTCTTGTCCTCCTCCAGCTTGAGCTACCTCAATCTTACACCACTCCCCACACCCCACCAACAACCAACCGGCCGGGAAGAAAGGGGTAGCCGGCCAGGCCAGATAGTTAATCGCAGGACGAAATATGAGCACACAAGGAAGTACGTATATACTACTATTTCTTCCTGCATGGGATTGCCATATCTCTTTCTTGTGCTGCCTAGCTCAGCTCGACACTGAGGGAGAACCCAAAGATTTTAATGGCCACGGCGGAACCACACAAGCTTAATAGCTGCTCGCTCGCTAGCTAGTCGGCCGGCCTGCCTGCTGCCTCCCTTTTGTGAAAGTGACAAGCAAAAGAGGGCAGTGAGTGCAGTCTAGATCTTATCTTGGCAATCTAGCTCTTTGTGTGCTAGCTAAGCTCACACTCGGATCGATCCGATGGGAGGGAGGGGCGAAAGAAGATCTAGCGAGGGAGTGAGTGACCTTCCGTCCAAAAGGTGGATCATTATTATGCTTCTACTAGTATTTTTTACCCACATATATTATGTAAACCTTGAGAAGGACATGTGGTGCATGCAGTCTTGCTTAGTTTAGAGCATTTACAGCCAGGTTTGGCAAATCTGACCCCTCAAAGCCCGCGGGCGCGTCCACGGACACACCGACCACGTCTCAAATATTTGATTTCACAACCGGACATCTCAAATTTGAAACCTTAAATTCATATTATTACATGCAACGTAAACCGATCTTTAAGCGGAGCTCGTCCGGTTCTGCCGTGCCCATGTCCGACGGCCAGGTTCGTTCTCCAGAGTATTAGTCCGGTTGCTGGCAAGGTAGAGTGGGGCATGGGACAGGAGCTGGCTCACGGGACTCAAGGCACAGTCGTCTCCCATGCCCTACTCTTCCTCGTCGGAGCTCGGAACCCGAACGGTGTCGGTGGACGTCAGATCGATGATGTATCTGTTCTAGGACGAGCCCCAGCGACATCCACCATGACGCAGTTGCGCCGTCCGGACTGATGCACCATACGGGGTGCCGGAGAATGCGACTCCGCCTTGCCGAAGTCCACCGCTGTGAGGGCTGCTGCCGCCTCCCGCGCTCGCTGCCTCGCATGGCGGGCACGCCGCACCATGTTTGTGTCGGTCGACGCCCATGGTGTGCCCATCGCCTCGAAGCGCCAACGGAGGGGTTGCGCGTCTGTCACCGCGTTCAGACGCCAGAAGGATGCACCGCCTCCGGTGAGGCAGCGATGACACACCTAGCGCCAGTTCCATGCGCCAATTGGGCGGACACAATGGATTTCCGATGGAAGGAGTACGAGCGCTGATTAGCACAGAGCTCCTCCCGGGGAACGACGGAGCGTTAGCCGGACGACCATCTCCTCCTCGGGGCCGCGTGGGATGAGTTCGGGTTCGACGGCTCTGGAGGTGAAGGACTTGGATCCACTGCCCGCCAAGCCAGAGGCGGTCGGAGATCGCCGAACGGGAGCTTGGCCGGCGGAGGGGAGTGGAGGAGAGTGGAGTGAAGTTGTTAGAGTTTGGTCCGGCGAATGGATGGGGAGGAATATATGTGGGGTCAGATGGGCTAGCGTGGGCCGGGTCTTATATGGTGGATGTGTCACGACACGCCCGGGTGCCCCATATTCATCACATATTTAGGCACAATATAACGGATGCCGATCACTCAGGACATTTGAGGCTTGTTTGAGACGCCTGTCCTGGTCGAATTTTCGTTCCGACATTTGAGGCGGGTTGGGGCGTCCGGCTGTAGAGGGCATCTATCCTCTATCCATGTTCCCTGTTTTATTATGACAGCGGGTAAAGTGTCGAGAGAGAGAGAGTAAGTCTATGGAAGTGTAGATTGGTAGGATGATGCAGGGCGAGGGCGAGAGGGGACGGCTGGCGCGGGCAGAGGCGCAGCGCAGGGCAGGCCAGGTCAGGGCGGAGGACAGAAACTCTGGTGGGATCACGTCCCTCTCCCTCTCCCTGCTTCAGTTTTGCCGGTTTTAATTCAATTCAATTGCATGGGACATTAAACTCTACCCCTCACTCTTTGGCGATTAAGACTGCATGCGCTGCTCCAGTGCCCTGTGGGGATGGCCCACGCACACATCGCATCATATACGCTGCTGGCTGATTGTGTACTGTTCTGTTATGTCTATTCCATGGCAAAGTTGTGCACAACTGTGACTGTGTCATGCTCATGCATGCACCCAGATCTTTTTGTTTCTTCGTTAACTACGTACTACTCTCTATGTACACTGTAGCCCCCTGTCCTATACGCGTCATAGTGCCGCAATAACATCTGATCCTAGCTAGAAAAACGAGCGTTTTTCTGGTGAAAAGCACAAGCACAAAATTTGACCAGTCCAATAAGAGTACTACTCCCTCCGTAAACTAATAGAAAAACATTTAGATAGCTACTTTAGCGATCTAAACGCTCTTATATCAGTTTATAGATGGAGTAATTGATAACCGGCTTGTACGAGTATGGTCTAGGTGTGTAGTACCAAACCTAGGTGTGGAGTGGTGCGGTGTGGTGAAGCGGCCGACCGCGCCATCACAGAGGTACAGTGCATTTCCTCCCCCATTAACTACGCACCTGCGCAACGAGTAGCTAGGCTGCAATGCAACACGCGGGCTGCAGCTAGCTAGGTGCTAGATCCATCAACTCTTGCTCGCATGCACTCAATGCGTACGCGCCAATTATTTGGGCCGGCCAGACAATTGGCTTCACTGGTCCGTCCTCTCGTGCCGGGTCACGTCCTGCCTCCTATACTCGGCTTTAGGTTTGCTAAACTAGGCTAATCTCTCCTTGCCCGAAAGAAATATGTCCCATGAAGTTTCTGAATACAGGCATTCCCCGTCTTCATCTTGTCTCTCAGCGATCGCCGGGGCAAACTCTTGCACTGAGGACTGGCATGTTGCCGGACATCAATGCGAGAAGCCAGGTCCACGAACCACACTGCCCCGTCGGTTTTTGTTTGCATCCTGAGAGAATACTAAGAGCATGGTTAAGTAGTAGTAGAGCCAACTGATAGGCTGTATCTAATAACCATATCATCTACAGCCAATATTAATAGTTAGCTATAGACATTTACTACTTTATCATTGTTTGGCTGTCTTCTTCTCTCACAAAGTTTCTTAGACTATGTTGCAGCTGGCTACTAACCTTATATACAGAATTTTAGTCGTAGCGCTGGATAAAATGGGGCGCTACTGCTACTTAGCAGTAGCGCGTGGAAACAGAAGGCGCTACTGCTATTTAAATTGCAGTAGCGCAGCTGGGGCAAAAGGTGCTACTACTAAAATTGCCCCACCGTTGCCGCCAGGCTATTTACATTGCCGTAGCGCGTTCTCTTGAAACGCGCTACTGCTAGGTAGTTTAGCAGTAGCGATTTTCCTGATCATGCGCTACTGCTATGTAGTTTATCTTCTCCACACTGTCGCCCCTCACTCTCCACCACTCCAACTCTCACTATCCCACACACCCTGTCGTTCGCCGCCGCCAACATTCGGCCCTCCCCCGTCGTCGCATTGCCGCCGCCGTCCCCACTCCTCCTTCCTCGGTATGTGCCCTCCTCCCACCGCCCTCCTCCTTCCTTCCCCCACTGCGCCCTCCTCCGGCCGCCCCTCCTCCCTTCT